AGGAGAGTCTTCTGACTATCAAAATGGCTGCGGGACAGGTGCATCTAGACAGATGACAGGATTTGCAACATTCTGACTGCTGCCAGTGGCAATTTGTTTCTAATAATACACACATTAACATTGTATAAACAATGCACTGAATTTGTACTACATAATTGGTAGATCTAAAAAAGATTGTTCAATCAGATTGTGAGGTGTATGGCCAGCTTTAAAGTGGATACACCCAGGAATTCATAGAAAGATTTTTGATTGTAAGCTCCACGAGCACGGCCCTCCTATTCCTTCTGTACTGAAATGTATAGTAATTGTACTGGCTCCCTTATATTGTAAAGCGCTGCGCAAACTGTTGGCGCTATATAAATCCTGTATAATAATAATAATTTTAACCACTTTCAAATCCTAGAACAACTGAACAGATCAAGACAACACTTTAGCATGGAATTGACAGAAACTGTTAATGGTACATTGCAGTTATCGGTGTGTCTCCTTTGTGATTAATACCATGTGCTGTATAAAGCTATTGCAGCAGAGTGTCATCTACTTACCATGTTCAGATGGAGTCTCAGGCCCCTTTAGCTGCTCTTTCCCATAACTCTCTGGGATCCTAGACAGAGCTCAGAAAGGACGAACCTAATAAAGTAGAAGTAGCTGGACAAGTGATCTGCAGCCAGGTGAGCAGCCTTCCACTGCCAGAACTGGTGTGCAGGCAACTTGGCCAGAGCCTACTATCACACAGTTTTTCCAGGAAGCTACACATGGGATCCCCTCCTCGACTGCTGCCAGAGTTCTCCAGTTCCAGTGGGGTTTCCCCCCCCCCCCCTGTGTCCTTGCGCCTTGGATACCTCCAATGGTTCACATGTGTTACCAGAGTTACTCTGAACTTTACTGAAGCTGCCTTCACACTTGAGCAATTTGTAGCTTGAAGCTAAAAGCTCCAAACTCCAAAAAAGCTCAAACTTAAAAAATCAATTGTTTTCTATGGTGCCTGTTCGCACCCGATCATATGAACAGGCACCATAGAGAACAACTGATTTTTCAAGTCTGAGCATTTTTGGAGCTTCAAGATTCAAGCTACAAATCACTCAAGTGTGAATGCAGCCTTAGAGAATGCTGTTTATGGGGATAATTGCAAGTAGCTGTTTCTGTTGCATTCTTTTTTTACTAAAGTAGTGATTCTTAGCCTGGCTCTGCTGCTATAGAGCAGGGTTAGACAACCTTAAAGAGGTGGTGATCAACCTGAACAACATGGAAGAAGTCAAAGATCACCAGGCACACTGTTGCCTCCTCATACCTGATGTAAACCTCTAATTGCCATACTACTGTGTTAAAATTGTGTGCATTGCATGGCAATCATGGGTTTAAATCAGTTGATGCGGAGGCAACATATTGCCTGCTCGCCACCTGTCAAATGCACCTGTCAAATGCACTGGGATCACTTTGCAGAGGAGCAGCAGTGCCTACTGCACCTGTGAATGAGCCCTTAGTTGTAATTGGCAGTGGCACCCTAAGGGCTTGTTCACATGTAAAGTTGGGGAGTGGTAAAACCCTGTGTTTGAATCACAGTTTACTGCCCCCAATCCCTGCCCTCTTTAGCTGTTGAGGCAGCAGCCAAAGGTGTTCACTTGCTGCAGCAGGAATTACACCCCCTGTTGCTTTTGGTGGGTGCTACCGCCTGTCAGCCGACACCCATTCAAGTAAATGGGCCACTTTGCAAGTGCCCTGCAACTGTACTCTTCTGCGGGGTCCAAGGGCTTAAAGCAAGTATTGAGAAAGCACAACAGCACTGCCTATTTAACCTTTTGTTTGCTGTACTGTACAAGGTTGCAGGGCAACTGCAGAGCGGCCTCATTCACTTGAATGGGCCATGCTTGGCTGGTGCTACACACACCAACCATGACAGGGTATAGGAGCAGCACTTTAGAGGAGACATCAACTTATGCAGCTTTTGCTCCCTACTACAGCTTCAACTTTACAAGTACACTGCTCAAAAAAATGAAATGAACAATTTTTAATCAGAGTATAGCTTCAAGTCAATGAAACTCCTGGGAAATAGATCTGGTCAGTTAAGTAGCATAGAAGGTTGTTAATTAGTTTCAGTTGCTTTGGTGTTAATGATGAGCAACAATAAGACAACCCCCAAAACAGGAATGGTTTTACAGGTGGAGGCATCATCTTTTCTGACTGTTTTTCACTAGTTTTGCATTTGGCTAGAGTCAGTTTCACTACTGGCAGCATGAGGCGATACCTGTACCCTACAGAGATTGCACAGGCAGTCCAAATCCTCCAGGATGGCACATCAATATGTGCCATTGCCAGAAGGTTTACTGTGTCTCCCAGCACAGACTCAAGAGCATGGAGGAGGTTCCAGGAGACAGGCAGTTACTCTAGGAGAGCTAGACAGGGCTGTAGAAGGTCCTTAACCCAACAGCAGGATCGGTATCTGCTCCTTTGTGCAAGGAGGAACAGGATGAGCACTGCCAGAGTCCTACAAAATGACCTCCAGCAGGCCACTGGTGTGAATGTCTCTGACCAAACAATCAGAAACAGACTTCATGAGGGTGGACTGAGGGTCCGACATCCTCTAGTGGCCCCTGTGCTCATTGCCCGGCATCATAGAGCTCAATTGGAATTTGCCAATTAACTCCAGAATTGGCAGGTCCACCACCGGCATCCTGTGCTTTAATAGATGAGAGCAGGTTCACCCTGAGCATATGTGACAGACGTGAAAGGGTCTGGAGAAGCTGTGGAGAACATTATGCTGGTATCGGGATGAAATCCTTGGACCCATTGTCAGACCCTATGCTGGTGCAATGGGTCCTGGGTTCCTCCTGGTGCACGACAATGCCCAGCAGAGGTGGTGTTGAAGTTGCCACCTCCGCTTCACTACCTAAGACTGCCACCTTGAGCACTTCTAACCAGAGGATCACCTCCCAAACCCTGTGGGGTATCGGAGGCTATCATGGTCCGTTTGTCCAGATGAGATCCAAGTTTCCTTACAACTCTGTTATCCATGTGGTGATTGTAATACCATCAAGTAGATCCACTATATCGTTTGGAGTGGTGAGAGCCTATGGGCACAGTTTATGCGGCGGCTGCCGTTTCTTGTGCAACAAGTCCAATATTGCCTTATTCACGGCCATCAGCTTCACTTCTATGGAACTTTAGTGACACACGCTTACTCCAATAACTTATCTTTGGATGTCATCACCACCTTATGTATCCTGTAACCAGGCTACCATTGGGCTGGTAATGCCTGGCTATACACAAGCTAATTAGCTTTAAACCTTCATTATACTTAAGCAGCTTTTCTAACTGCCAATACTGGTGCACCTATGCTTTAGCCATAGGGATACATTTCTGCAGTGGTCATTGACCCGGACTTGTACCGCTTATATAACCCATTTCAGGTCTCAATATAGCCCCCTTAACCCATGTGTATCTATATGATGATTGTTATCATTATGCAGGTTATCAGGTATACCTGGTGAGACTGATTCCCAGAGCCCTGTCACTGCCTTTTGGCTGAATGCGGGTAAACCCGTTAGATGAGGCTCTGTATATCACTGACTCATTTAATATGCTCATTTAAGACGGATGGTAGCTGTTAAGAGTTTTATATGAATATGTGTGTGGCCCGGGTGTGATTTTAAACAGATAACGTTATCTTACCTTATTTTAAAGTGAATGGAGGATTCCTGGTCTACTGGCCTTATTACCTATTTGTGGTCTCAGTAAAGCTGTTAATTTTACACCACTGTCGATTCTCTTTTAAAACATCTTTTTTTGAAGGGGTCTGATTGATCTCTTTACTATCCTTGTTTGACAGAAGCCAACCTCACGACCATCTTCTGCCGAGCAAGCTTGCTGGAAAACGAGTAGCCGATCGGCATCTGATCAGCACTCTCAGCCACTGTGTTACGGATCCGCCCGGTGGAGCCTCTCTGGCAGCCCACTAGACAGGAATACCCAGAGTGTGGAGTCTAAGTCCCGGTCTGCGTGTTCACCAGGGCCCCTGATGGTGGGGATGGACTTGAAGCAGACCAGGACCAGGTCACGACCTCCGAGCAATCCCACCCGTGGCAGAGGGAACCTCCGGGGATGGATACAGGAGGAGAGCCAGATGTGAGGAGGCCGGCAGGCCCAGGCAGGATGGATGGATGGATGGACGGATCGTAGTCAAAACTAGCCAGTTGTCACCTAGGGGGGCAGCGAGGTACAGAAACGGCAGGCAAAGGATAGTCAGGTCACACGCAGGGTCAGTATAGGGAAGGTCAGTCCGCAGAGAGGTAAAACAAGCCGGGGGTCAGGACAGGAGAAGGCAGCGTAGTCAGGGCAATCCGGGTCAAAATCAGGAGAAGGCAGCGTAGTCAGGGCAATCCGGGTCAAAATCAGGAGAAGGCAGCGTAGTCAGGGCAATCCGGGTCAAAATCAGGAGAAGGCAGCGTAGTCAGGGCAATCCGGGTCCACAATAGTACAGGCACAGGAATACAGGAACTCAGGTACAGGAAGAGACCTTGCGGCGATCTGTGACAGCGCAGGGTATCTTTAAATACCGCGCCCTGCGCTGTCATTGGCCGCCCAGCGTGGACTCGCGGCGCCTACTGCGCATGCGCGAGTCTCCCTCAGCCGCGGACCTAGTGCCGGTATCCCGGCGCGAGCTGACGAGACTGCGCATGCGGTGGACCCTGACACACTGGCTGCAAGCACTAACCGGTGTGTTCTGGTGGGGGTAGCCCCCACTTCAGAACACAATAGCACAGCAGGGAGATTGCTATACTAACATTGAATAGTTAGTACAGAGACCTCCTTGCGAGCTGCTAAGTTCAACAAAAACAACAAAAATTAACAAAAATAACATGATGTTTGTACCAGGCTTTACATGTAGGCAAATAAACACTTTAAAGTCAGGTATTTATGCAGCACACATTTTGCATTAAGCACATAAAAAAAACATAAAAGACATTTACTAGCACTTAATAATATAATTGCTTTTTTCCCAGCTCTCAGACTTCACTTGCCTGTCTGGTTTGCAAGAGTTGGTGCTGTTTTCCAGTGGGACAGAAACAACTGAAAATAACACTTTCAAAGCACTGAGTGACTTGAAAGTGTTGGAAGTATGGAAGAATAAGCTAACCACTATTCCCAGATCACTTCCACCAAGTCTGGAGGTCCTGAAACTTGGAGATAATTCTATTCGCTCTGTTCATCACTATGATTTTGATGGTTTGACCAAGCTAAAGGTGCTTGAAATCCAGAACAACATGCTGCTGACATTGTCCTTTGACGTGTTTTCTACATTGACAAATATACAGCGCCTGATCCTGGACAGTAATGGAATGCAAAGCATATCTGGGACAGCTAAGCTGACACAACTGAGATACCTAGGCTTGGAGAACAACAAGATGCTCTTCTTTCATGAACATTTCTTTTCACACTTCCCAAGCTTGCAGTTTCTTAAGTTAGCAGGAAACCAACTGGCTAAAATTCCAGCACAACTCCCACGATCACTGCTTTCGTTGAGGCTTGAGAGGAATAACATAAAAAATGTTCGAGTCAGAGATGTAAAACAGTTGGAAATTCTATCTGAGCTTAACCTTTCTGGGAACCAGCTTTCTTCAGCAGATGGTATCCAAACTGTTGTCAATCTTACCTCTTTAGATCTGTCCAAGAACCACCTCTCATCTTTCCCCAATAAATTACCATTCAAATTACAGAGACTTGACTGCAGTGATAACCAGATTTCCAGAGTGACAGTACAAGACATGAAGAGCCTGTCTTACCTTAAACATTTGTTCCTGGACAATAATGGAATGATTCAGTTAGAAGACAAAACACTCCAGTGGTGTGTTCACTTGTCCAACTTGGCCATGGAGCAAAACCTTCTAACCTCAATTCCACAGGGGTAAGTTTGTTACCTACTAGACAGCGGATTATGTCAATTTGGCAAATGTTATATAAAATAATAAAATGAGAAAAAAAAAATAAAATAAACCATTACACTTCATTTGATTCAGAGTCAGTAGCCATAGTCATCATGCCTACAGAGTACATGCATTTAAAGCCGTGTCTAGTGGTATGTTGCAAAAGGGTAGTTAGAGATTAGGATATGGTGCTTGTGTAGTTCCTTTAGTTGGCCAATGACCATTGCAAAGAGTGAAAACCAAAAGGTGGACATAGTCAGGAACACTTGATAAGTGCCTGTCACAGCTTACTCAGTTCTATTAACCCCTGTCACACCAGAAGATTACGGCAGTGGGGGTGGGGTGCCTAGGAGGAAGAAAACTTTTGCTAAACCAGTACACAGCAGCATAAGGGACACATCAGGGTTTATTTACTAAAGCTGGAGAGTCCAAAATCAGACTCCCTTCTGCATAGAAACCAATCAGCTTCTAACCTCAGCTTGTTCAATGAAGCTTTGGCAATGAAACCTGGAAGCTGATTGGTTTCTATGCAGAAGGGAGTCTGATTTTGGACTCTCCAGCTTTAGTAAATAAACCCCATCATGTTTAAATTAAGTAATATATCCTTGTGCTGATTTAAACATTTTTTTTAAGTAAACTTAGGCTTTAAAGTGTTACAAAACCCCAAACCCTGAATTCACTATATATGGTCCCACAGTACACAAAACATGGAAGTGCAATTATTTTAGTAAATATTAACTGCTAAATACCTTTTCTCATCAGCAGTTAGAGCAATCTTGTGACTTCAGCTGAGCACTTGTTAAAGCTTGTAGGAGTTTTCTTTCTGCTCTAGTAGGATGCAAAACCCCTGACCTCTGTCTGGACAGTGCTGACTAGCTCTGTGCTGATCACATGCACTCTCCCAAGAAAAAAAAAACTCACTAGCAATACACACTAAACTGAGCATGTGCAGAAGAGCTACGGGTTCAGTCTGTCTTATCAGGAGATAAGACCTGGACATTTGAACAAGAGGAGGGGCAGAGAAGAAAGGATCAAATGGCCTTTTTACACAATGCAGAGGATTAACCCCTTAGGTTCCACAGTGAGTATAACAAGCATGCTTTACTGCATCCACAGACTGATTTCACTGTTGTGGGTTTAGTAACACTTTAAAGAATATATATTGTCACAGAATACATTTTAATTTTATAACATCAGCACTGTAATAACAATGCAAATACTGTAGTAGATGTTTTTGACAATCCAGTATAAGCTTACTTGAAACATTTCCTTTCATGTTGTGAGTGCTCCCTGTCTGCTGGCCATCTCTTTCCACAGCTTCCTGGATTCCCTGCATGTTTTACAGCTTCTCCTCTGCTGTTTACTTTTAATTTCTAAAGACTACATAGCCCATGGTACCTTGCTTCCTCCTGAAACTCCACCTCATAGTGCCCCAGTAATTCAGAAGGCAGACACTGTAAAATCTGTGACTCAGCAGTGCCTACCCACAGGGAATAGTGAATATGTGTCACATAATTCCCAGAAGTAAATGTGTGGGGATCTTCATAAAGTAAGTTTACAAACTTCAAGATCGTTCTGATTAATACAACCCCAATTACAAAAAAGCTGAGACACTGTGTAAAATCTGCATAATAACAAAATGCAATGATTTGCAAATCTCACAAATCCATATTTTATTTACAATAGAACATTTAAAAAATATCAAATGTTTAAACTGAGCGAATGTAGCATTTTAAGAAAAAAAAGGTCATTTTGAAATTGATGGCGGCAACATGTTTCAAAAAGTTGGGACAGAGCAACAAAAATCTATCAAAGTAATGCAGGCCATAGATGGGTCGAAAAACAGCAAATTTTCTCACCATTAATGGGTTAATTGGTTGGCCGTTTTTCTGGATTTTGGCACTTTTTTTATTGGTAAAGTTGGAAAAAAATCGGACGATTTAGCCGTTCGGCCGATTTTCGTGGCAATGATGGACAAATCGGCCGATCTTTTTACCGATAAAAAATTTGCGCATGAGCCGTGACCTGCAAGAAAAAGAAGAAGAAAAAGAAGTAGGAAAAAGTAGAAGAAGAATTCCAGTCCGCTATTATATTTGACATGAAAAAGTATTGAGGTTGCAACAATGTATCTATTTGTATCCGAATAAAAACATCTGTATCCGAAATGGATACAAATTTATACATTGTTGCAACCACTATACTTTTTAATGTCAAATATAATAGCTCTCTGCAGGGACAGAAATAATTAAATGTCGGCCATAGACGGGACGACAATCAGCTGATTTTATTTACTGTTGGGACCTCCTGGCTTGTTATAAACACTCAGTTCAAAACTGAGTATGGTATGCCTGTGCATTAGTGAGTATGGAATGGGCAGCTTACACATCTGGAAAGGCACCATCAATGCTCTAAAACTTGGATTTATCTTTCAACAGCATATGCTCCCATCCAAATGATGTTGCTTTCAGGGAAGGCCTTGCATATTTCAACATGGCTTCGTAGTAGAAGAGTCTAGATGCTTAACTAGCCTACCTGCAGTCCAGACCTTTCAACAATTGAAAATATTTGTCGCTTCTTGAAACAATAAATACAACACAGCAGATCAAGGACTGTTGAGCAGTTAAGACTCCAGTATCAAGTAAGAATGGGACAATATTCCTTTACCAAAACTCCACCAACTGGTCTTCTCAGTTCCCAGATGTTTACAGAATGTTTTTAAAAGAGGGGATGCTACACCATGGTAAACATTGCCCTGTTCCAACTTTTTTGAGACGTGTTTCTGCCATTGATTTCAAAATTACCTTATTATTTTCTTAAAATGGTACATTTTCTTAGTCTAAACATTTGTTATGTGTTCTAATTTCAATTGTGAATAAAATATGGGTTTATGAGATTTGCAAATCATTGCACTCTGTTTTTATGTAGATTTTACACAACGTCCCAACTTTTTTGGAATTGGGGTTGTAGAAATAGGCTAGAAAAACTCACTAGCAATACACACTAAACTGAGCATGTGCAGAAGAGCTACGGGTTCAGTCTGTCTTATCAGGAGATAAGACCTGGACATTTGAACAAGAGGAGGGGCAGAGAAGAAAGGATCAAATGGCCTTTTTACACAATGCAGAGGATTAACCCCTTAGGTTCCACAGTGAGTATAACAAGCATGCTTTACTGCATCTACAGACTGATTTCACTGCTGTGGGTTTAGTAACACTTTAAAGAATATATATTGTCACAGAATACATTTTAATTTTATAACATCAGCACTGTAATAACAATGCAAATACTGTAGTAGATGTTTTTGACAATCCAGTATAAGCTTACTTGAAACATTTCCTTTCATGTTGTGAGTGCTCCCTGTCTGCTGGCCATCTCTTTCCACAGCTTCCTGGATTCCCTGCATGTTTTACAGCTTCTCCTCTGCTGTTTACTTTTAATTTCTAAAGACTACATAGCCCATGGTACCTTGCTTCCTCCTGAAACTCCACCTCATAGTGCCCCAGTAATTCAGAAGGCAGACACTGTAAAATCTGTGACTCAGCAGTGCCTACCCACAGGGAATAGTGAATATGTGTCACATAATTCCCAGAAGTAAATGTGTGGGGATCTTCATAAAGTAAGTTTACAAACTTCAAGATCGTTCTGATTAATACAACCCCAATTACAAAAAAGCTGAGACACTGTGTAAAATCTGCATAATAACAAAATGCAATGATTTGCAAATCTCACAAATCCATATTTTATTTACAATAGAACATTTAAAAAATATCAAATGTTTAAACTGAGCGAATGTAGCATTTTAAGAAAAAAAAGGTCATTTTGAAATTGATGGCGGCAACATGTTTCAAAAAGTTGGGACAGAGCAACAAAAATCTATCAAAGTAATGCAGGCCATAGATGGGTCGAAAAACAGCAAATTTTCTCACCATTAATGGGTTAATTGGTTGGCCGTTTTTCTGGATTTTGGCACTTTTTTTATTGGTAAAGTTGGAAAAAAATCGGACGATTTAGCCGTTCGGCCGATTTTCGTGGCAATGATGGACAAATCGGCCGATCTTTTTACCGATAAAAAATTTGCGCATGAGCCGTGACCTGCAAGAAAAAGAAGAAGAAAAAGAAGTAGGAAAAAGTAGAAGAAGAATTCCAGTCCGCTATTATATTTGACATGAAAAAGTATTGAGGTTGCAACAATGTATCTATTTGTATCCGAATAAAAACATCTGTATCCGAAATGGATACAAATTTATACATTGTTGCAACCACTATACTTTTTAATGTCAAATATAATAGCTCTCTGCAGGGACAGAAATAATTAAATGTCGGCCATAGACGGGACGACAATCAGCTGATTTTATTTACTGTTGGGACCTCCTGGCTTGTTATAAACACTCAGTTCAAAACTGAGTATGGTATGCCTGTGCATTAGTGAGTATGGAATGGGCAGCTTACACATCTGGAAAGGCACCATCAATGCTCTAAAACTTGGATTTATCTTTCAACAGCATATGCTCCCATCCAAATGATGTTGCTTTCAGGGAAGGTCTTGCATATTTCAACATGGCTTCGTAGTAGAAGAGTCTAGATGCTTAATTAGCCTACCTGCAGTCCAGACCTTTCAACAATTGAAAATATTTGTCGCTTCTTGAAACAATAAATACAACACAGCAGATCAAGGACTGTTGAGCAGTTAAGACTCCAGTATCAAGTAAGAATGGGACAATATTCCTTTACCAAAACTCCACCAACTGGTCTTCTCAGTTCCCAGATGTTTACAGAATGTTTTTAAAAGAGGGGATGCTACACCATGGTAAACATTGCCCTGTTCCAACTTTTTTGAGACGTGTTTCTGCCATTGATTTCAAAATTACCTTATTATTTTCTTAAAATGGTACATTTTCTTAGTCTAAACATTTGTTATGTGTTCTAATTTCAATTGTGAATAAAATATGGGTTTATGAGATTTGCAAATCATTGCACTCTGTTTTTATGTAGATTTTACACAACGTCCCAACTTTTTTGGAATTGGGGTTGTAGAAATAGGCTAGAAAAACTCACTAGCAATACACACTAAACTGAGCATGTGCAGAAGAGCTACGGGTTCAGTCTGTCTTATCAGGAGATAAGACCTGGACATTTGAACAAGAGGAGGGGCAGAGAAGAAAGGATCAAATGGCCTTTTTACACAATGCAGAGGATTAACCCCTTAGGTTCCACAGTGAGTATAACAAGCATGCTTTACTGCATCTACAGACTGATTTCACTGTTGTGGGTTTAGTAACACTTTAAAGAATATATATTGTCACAGAATACATTTTAATTTTATAACATCAGCACTGTAATAACAATGCAAATACTGTAGTAGATGTTTTTGACAATCCAGTATAAGCTTACTTGAAACATTTCCTTTCATGTTGTGAGTGCTCCCTGTCTGCTGGCCATCTCTTTCCACAGCTTCCTGGATTCCCTGCATGTTTTACAGCTTCTCCTCTGCTGTTTACTTTTAATTTCTAAAGACTACATAGCCCATGGTACCTTGCTTCCTCCTGAAACTCCACCTCATAGTGCCCCAGTAATTCAGAAGGCAGACACTGTAAAATCTGTGACTCAGCAGTGCCTACCCACAGGGAATAGTGAATATGTGTCACATAATTCCCAGAAGTAAATGTGTGGGGATCTTCATAAAGTAAGTTTACAAACTTCAAGATCGTTCTGATTAATACAACCCCAATTACAAAAAAGCTGAGACACTGTGTAAAATCTGCATAATAACAAAATGCAATGATTTGCAAATCTCACAAATCCATATTTTATTTACAATAGAACATTTAAAAAATATCAAATGTTTAAACTGAGCGAATGTAGCATTTTAAGAAAAAAAAGGTCATTTTGAAATTGATGGCGGCAACATGTTTCAAAAAGTTGGGACAGAGCAACAAAAATCTATCAAAGTAATGCAGGCCATAGATGGGTCGAAAAACAGCAAATTTTCTCACCATTAATGGGTTAATTGGTTGGCCGTTTTTTTCTGGATTTTGGCACTTTTTTTATTGGTAAAGTTGGAAAAAAATCGGACGATTTAGCCGTTCGGCCGATTTTCGTGGCAATGATGGACAAATCGGCCGATCTTTTTACCGATAAAAAATTTGCGCATGAGCCGTGCCCTGCAAGAAAAAGAAGAAGAAAAAGAAGTAGGAAAAAGTAGAAGAAGAATTCCAGTCCGCTATTATATTTGACATGAAAAAGTATTGAGGTTGCAACAATGTATCTATTTGTATCCGAATAAAAACATCTGTATCCGAAATGGATACAAATTTATACATTGTTGCAACCACTATACTTTTTAATGTCAAATATAATAGCTCTCTGCAGGGACAGAAATAATTAAATGTCGGCCATAGACGGGACGAAAATCAGCTGATTTTATTTACTGTTGGGACCCTCCTGGCTTGTTATAAACACTCAGTTCAAAACTGAGTATGGTATGCCTGTGCATTAGTGAGTATGGAATGGGCAGCTTACACATCTGGAAAGGCACCATCAATGCTCTAAAACTTGGATTTATCTTTCAACAGCATATGCTCCCATCCAAATGATGTTGCTTTCAGGGAAGGTCTTGCATATTTCAACATGGCTTCGTAGTAGAAGAGTCTAGATGCTTAACTAGCCTACCTGCAGTCCAGACCTTTCAACAATTGAAAATATTTGTCGCTTCTTGAAACAATAAATACAACACAGCAGATCAAGGACTGTTGAGCAGTTAAGACTCCAGTATCAAGTAAGAATGGGACAATATTCCTTTACCAAAACTCCACCAACTGGTCTTCTCAGTTCCCAGATGTTTACAGAATGTTTTTAAAAGAGGGGATGCTACACCATGGTAAACATTGCCCTGTTCCAACTTTTTTGAGACGTGTTTCTGCCATTGATTTCAAAATTACCTTATTATTTTCTTAAAATGGTACATTTTCTTAGTCTAAACATTTTTGTTATGTGTTCTAATTTCAATTGTGAATAAAATATGGGTTTATGAGATTTGCAAATCATTGCACTCTGTTTTTATGTAGATTTTACACAACGTCCCAACTTTTTTGGAATTGGGGTTGTAGAAATAGGCTAGAAATAACTGAAATCTTTATGGAAATTAATATATGATTTTACATATATACACTTTGCCAGACAAAATATGCAGGTCAAAGGTCACCTCTGCCCACATATGAAACAATAGTAGTAAATAGATGTTACATCATATTTCTCAATAAATCTTCTATTCAATGTGTTTAACCCTGTTAAGAAGCTTTGTTCCACACAACAGGGACTGCCCTCACTGCTGCAATGCAGAGCAAGTGTCAGCTGTCATTTTTGACAGACTTGCCTGCAATAGTGGTCATTGAGATGAAGAGGGAATAGCACTAGGGTCCTTGGTTTGAAGCCCAACCAGGACACTACCTGGATTTTCTTGTTGTGGTTGTGTGGACAGTGCCATCTTAAAAGATTCATGGGCCCCAGGGCAAAGTAAGGCACTGGGACCCCTACTAGGGAGAGAGTTTCCTGCAGCATGCTACATCAGATGTAGCCTTTTAGTCTGATTACAAACAACAAATAAACACAACTAGGGAATAATCCCAAATTAAATTCACCTCCTGTATACATTGTCCCACCATCTCTGCACACTGATCCCCTGTATACACTGACCCTCTTTCCCCGTACACAGCCTCCCAGCATCTGCGGCTTGTATATACTGTATGTATGTCTGTACACAGTACAGGGTGGGAAGTAGAGCAAAGTACAGGGGAGCAGGAGGGAACAGTACATGGTGGGCAGGAGGACAATACAGTGCAGGCAGGAGGGCACAGTACAGGGTGGGCAGGAGGACACAGTATAGACAGGGCAGAAGGAAACAATACGGGGGGAGGGCACAGTATGGGGGCCAGAAGGGGGGCACAGTACAGGGTGGTTAGCAGGACACAGTACAAGGGGGCAGGAGAGCACAGTACAGGGCGGGCAGGAGGGCACAGTATAGGGCAGGCTTGAGGGCACATTACAGTGTGGGCAGGGGGAAAAAGTTCAGGACAGGCAGCAGGGCACAGTACAGGAGGCAGGATGGCACAGTACAGGAGGCAGGAGGGTACAGTACAGGGCAGGCAGGAGGGAACAGTACAGGGTGGACAGGAGGCACAGTACAGGTAGTCAGGAAGGCACAATACAAGGGACAGGAGGGCACAGTACAGGATAGGCAAGAGACACAGTACAGGATGGTCAAAATAGCACAGTACAGGGCGGACAGGAGGCACGGTACAGGGCGGTCAGGAGGGCACAGTACAGGGCGGGCAGAAGGCACAGGACAGGGGACAGAAGACCACAGTACAGGGTGGGCAGGAGGACATAGTCTGGGGGCAGGAGGGCACAGTACAGGGTGAGCAGGAGGACATAATATGGGGACAGGAAGGCACAGTACAGGGGGTCACTAATGGCAGGAGAGAGGAAAGGGGGCACTACTGACAGTGCACTAGGCAGAGCTCAGCTCTTCCTCCCATCCATGCACTGTACACAGCCTGATCACAGCCACCAAGATCTCCTGCTCCCCACATAGCACACAATGGAGCTGAAACCCGATTCCCTTATACACAGCTACAATCTGCACAGTGTATAGATGGCTACTGGGTTTAGTTCTGACCTGTTGAAATTCCATGGTTAGAACGGAAGCTCAGTTACAGTAGCTTGCTCTACACTGTGCACACTGTAGCTGTGTGTAAGGAAATCGGATGGGAAGGAGGAGCTCTTACTGCTGTGCTCAAGCCATGTACTGTGCAGGGATAGAAGACTTCCGGCACAGCCTCAGGAGTGGTAGCGGGCTTTTAGGCAGTGCAACTTAACTCTGGCGGGGCCTAGTCTACTCCAGCAGCCCCCTAGATCTGGCCACAATCTTACCGCTGCTGCTTGTGTGGGCGTGATGTGTACTGCTTCAATGCCCGCTGTCCTCCTCCCCTATTCATTCCATGTGATCGGAGAAAAACACATCCCTCCCACACAAGCAGCAAATATTATGCCTTGGGGGGGGTTCTTCCTTAACCCCTGCAAAGTGCCAGAGGAGTGCCAGAAAATGCAGGGTGGGGGGGGACAGTAGGGGCCCCCCTTGCACCTGGGGCTCCTTGGCAGTACCCAGGTTGGCCTGTGCACTAGGACGGTCCTGGGTGGGGATTTCCTCCATGTACTCCATTTTCCTCCCACGTTCCAAACACGTCAGTAGATTAAGTGGTTCCCAACTAAACTGGTCCAAGTATGATTATGTATGCATTTGAGGTAGGAACCTTGGATTGTAAGCTCCTTGAGAGCAGGGACTGATGTGAATGTACAGTATGTAAAATGCTGTGTAAATTGTTGACGATGTATAAATACTTGAGAAAATAAATAAGGCACATGCCCAAAGCAATTTGTTTATGTTTTTCAGGCTCATGCCTTACACCCACAGTCCTCAACTTTTTGAAGCCAAATTAATTTTGGTCTTTTTTTTAGGCTTCCAGTGACCCTAACCCGGTTAGACCTCAAAGGCAACAAAATTGAACACATTGGAGTTCATGATGTAAATAATTTGAAACAGCTCCAGGTTCTCAACCTTCGAAATAACAAAATCACATCCCTAGATCACCAGGTTTTGGAATGCTTGCCACGTTTGCAACACCTCTATTTAGACGGCAACCCCTGGAACTGCACCTGCAAACTTCTAACGGTCAGAAGACTATTAGTCGATAAAGGAACTGATATAAAGGAAGGCCAATGTATCGAGCCAAGTTACTGCCGTGGTGAAAGATGGATGTCCTCTGAAACTATGTTACGGCATTGTGAGAGCAGCTATACCTTTGACAAAGGAAAAGAACCTAAGAAAAAGATCAAATTTAATGAACTACTTGACATAGAAAATGATGAAGACTACGATTATGACTTGATTCATTGATGGGTTTTCTACTTTGGAGGTTTAGCTCACTTATTTTTACAGTTTTGGAATGGTTTCCTTTTTTTCTGTTTATGTAATGGGGCAAAGCAATTATTATGAGCCTGTTTATGTTTGTAAGTAAAATTAACAATATATGAATATACTTATTAAATCTTGTAACATAGACCAGTTTAAATAAAAGTAAAAAACATTTGTTTTGTTTAGTTTTTCATCGAATGCCTTGCCATTTCCTCTGTTTTGCTTCACAAATGTGAGAGTGCTAATGTGATGAAAGACAGCATCTCTCTGTTAATTGCTTTGCATGTTTGTGTATGTGTCAGATCTAATTACTGGTTAGCTCTCACCTGCAGAACACAAGACTTTGTAACCCAGGGACTGTGGGATATATAGTTTGTTCACAGGACATGTCAGGTCTTAGAATACAGACGGAGGTCATGCAGAGGTCTGTGCAGTGTAATGCCACATTCCTCCTGTTTGACTACAGATAAACTTTTGGAATGTGATAATCTACCCTACTATAGGCTGTGCATACAGGCCACCAAAAGACACCATGAAACTACATGATCAATGCACCTTTTATGCAGGTGGAAATCACAAGGTGCAGGTAGGAAGGTTTATAATGTCAGTTTATATTTCTGTCTGTCTGGGACAGAAATGCACAGACAGCAAGAAAAACCAAGGATGAGTTGTGTATGCATAGCAGAGCCATACAAAGCAGAGTATATAAGCAAAACAGGGCGCACTCTCTTCGTGCATTACCGTGGTGAAATAGAAATTTATTTAAAAGCATATACATGCATACTCACAAACCAAAGGGGGATTGAAAAAAGAGAAGAAGAGTCCGTAATGACAGTCCAAAGTGTCGTACACCCTTGGTGAGGTAGGCTAATGCGTTTTGGGAGACGTACTCCTTTGTTCAGAGCTAAAATGTAGGCCTACTATTCCAACATTTATAAGGCACAAAATGTTTTAAGAGGACTGTTTTGTTTTGTTTTTTTTTCCCATTTTGTCATGCCCTTTGCCCCAAGCGTTCTGGTTGTCCATTCATGTTCATATGCACATCACCATTTTTTCGCTGTGACATTGTTGCTGGAGGTGGACCTGATTGGCTCAGCCCTGATTGGGTTGTCATGTGAGGGGGTGTGTTCCTGTCCTCTTAAATCATTTTGTGCCTTATAAATTTTGGAATAGCAGGCCTACATTTTTGCTCTGAAGAAGAGAGTACGTTTCCCGAAACGCGTTAGCCTACCTCACCAAGGGTCTATCGTCACTTTGGACTGTCATTACGGACATGTTTAATAGTAAAACGTAAAAAATATAGTTTTTTGTTTATAGCACAAAAAATAAAAAAGGAGGAGGCGATCAAATACCACCGAAAAAACGCTATCACATACCTGGTGTTAGAGGCCAATGGAAAGAGGGCTTCCCTTGCGACTAAGTTCCAGACTCCCCTGAGAGTGGGACAGCAGGAGTCAGGCCCAAAGTGGCACAGGTCGCCTGTAGGAGTGCTCCTTGGTGGTCCACAGCTGATGCACTGAGATGGGATCTGCAGACAGGTGGTGTCTTCTGAGAAACAGAGGATCACAGGATAGCCAGTTCAAAGCCGAGGTCAGGTACCAGGTGGGAAACAGAGCAGATGTCGTCAGATGGGACAGCCAAGGTCATACACAGAGGAGCAAGAGGGGATATCCATTAGCCAAGCCGAGGTCAGATCAGGGGTTAAGCAGAGAAGACAGGTCTAGGAGTGAGCTGAGTCGGTATCAGGAAATCACAGATCACAATAGCACAGTAAACAGGAACAAGGTACTGGGAAGCTAGAGATCAACCAGCACCTGAGAGTAGAGCAGGGTTTCCTTATAAAGGCTGTTTGGAGCCAGATTTGAGCTAATGTGAACTTCTGCGGCCATGCAAGGTACTAGCAGGGGTGCCAGGTCTCCTAACACCTCTGCTGAGGACAGAGCCCTGACAAATGCTCTATTGGTGGGAAAAAAAGGATGTAAATTTAATTTGGGTGCAGCGTTGCATGACTGCAATTATCAGTAAAAGTAATGCAGCACCGTGTCGCAAAAAATGGCCTGGTCAGGAACGGGGGTAAATCCTCAGGAGGGCAAGTGGTTAAAGTGGAACTAAACTCCCCAATATAGTCACTTCTACCTTCCAGTGGTTATGTCCCTCTCCAGACAGTGTCATCTTCTCCCTGGGTGCTGGGTTTTAGGCTTGATTAGTTGGCGGAGGAAGACATCATCCCACCTGTGCACACAGTAGGCAAAATGTGCCAATAATGCACGGTGAACTGCACATTTCCAGTTTAATTCAATGTACATTCAAGCATAAACTGGGAGCAGGCAGGTATGTATTAATGCATGTCTCTACTACAATAAAGAGCTTGCTCACAGTTTTCTTAGCCCTCATGCAAACTGGACATTTTGATAACGCTGGTAACGTTAGCTGTGTAATGTCACGTTAAAAACGTGCGTTTTTGCATTAGCGTTTAGTGGCGTTTTGCCACGATTAGTGATGTTTTCCCATGTTTTTTCTGCGATTGCGTTTTTTCTATAGGTTTTTGTTGGCCAAAAAAGGTCCACAAACGCCGATTTGCTGCGTTTTTACCGTGTTTTGCTGTGTTTTCAGCTAAAAAAATTCCTCTAGAAACCCACTAGTCCTGGATTTTTTTTCCAGCCAAAAAACGTCCCAGCCAAAAAACGTTGATTACAGTCTATGTGTGCATGGACACAGGATAACATGCTGGGGGGGGGGGGGGGTTTACTAGCTGTAGAAAAAATTGTCAAAAGCCAAAAACAGCCGCTGTAAAAACATCCAGTGTGCATGAGGGCTTAAAGTTAGGTTTAATTCTGTTTTAAGAATCTGTCGCTGACATTGTGAAAAGTTCTTAAAGTGGCAGTAGTAAAAACTACCTGAATTTGCCCCAGTGTCAGCAATGCTACTGACACTGGTGCAAATGCTTGCCACATAAAAAAATGCCACAAACCTGCGTTCAGAGAAGACCTTACTGGCAAAATTTACATACATACGCACATAACGCGTATATGTGTGTAATATAATTCCAGTGGCCAGGATAAATTAATATTCTAGAGTAGAGAATGAGTGTCTAAACACCATTCACCTGTAAATGTGCTTTATTACACACCAAATTAACATTTTTTTGCTATATTTTTATGCCAGCTCCTGGCAGCTATATATAGGAGTATTTATATAGGAGTATTTTAATATGATGTTAATATGTTGATAAGGATGTTGCTAAGGAACAGCTAGCTGTTACTAATCACCTTCGCCATCACAGAAGTGAGCTCTTTCTCTGATTCAAACCCCCTCACCTGTGATTTCTCTACCATGATACAACAGCTCTGAGCTCAATATTTGAGAGCTTGCTCCTGTGATGATGGTAAGGCGAACAGTAACAGATAGGCAACATCCTAGGAGTTTTCCAGTCAGGCTTCATGAAGAACATAAATCACCGACACCTATAGCAAGGGCTTTATTCCACTTGGTCAAAGCTGCACAGTTTGTTTTTATTTACAAACAACCCTTATCTTCATAAGTAGTTGTTTTGGTAAAAAGTGAACTAACCCTTTAGGGAACACAACTTGTGTTTTTCACTCAGGATCTTTCTGTCGGCAAGATCCTGCATATAAACATTCATATATCCGTGTTCAAGAAGCTTTAAACAGCAACTCAAGTCAAAAACTAAAAGTTGTCCGATCATTCCCCACCCAATGACCATTGGGTCCATATAAATATGAACATCAGGCTAGGAAAAACATTCCTATTTATGTCAACAAGAAAGGGCTAGAGGGAGAAAATGAATGTCTTTGTTAGATGTTACTTGTGCTGTTTATCTTTGGGAGGAAAAACAGCAATCAGCACTGGGTTTCAATCCAGTCTAATTCATTGTTCCCCCCAACAACATATGGCTGGCAGGGTCAGGTCCACTCCATACCTACTAACTGATTTCTGTGATCTCTGAGTCATTACCTTCTCGCAAGTATGCAGATATAGAGTCCAGGTTTCATTGACATTTTACTTATTGCATGGTTGTTCCACGTCAGTGACTTGCATTGTATTGAAACATAAAAGACTGCCAACAGGTTGTTAGCCGGATGTTTCTATATATCTTTTATGACAGGTCTCCTTTCCGGAGAGAAATATATGGGCTGCCATGGCTGACCTCCTTCTAAAAATGCTAGTTGTCTGGCTTTTATGCCAAATACCTGCCTTTAGCATTTTTTCAGGCAGAGGCTCAGAAAAAGTCATCAGAAAGTCAGAGGGCCTTATCTGTATACTCATTTTGTCTCAGTGACTCAGTGACTCCAAGTACTAAAGCCATGTGGTCAGGAAAGAAGAGAAGGTCAGAAATGGCAGCCTCCATGTTTCTATCATGGAAGGTTTCTTTTAAATCAAACTTATTTTCCTATCCAGGGCAAAGCAACTGGTTTGATTTATTCCCCACTATTCAAGTAGGGTATTCTTTCCTTTGCTACACCCCAACTATGTCCAGCACTAGGAAGTCCTCTACAGTTATTCAAAGTCCAGAACTTATAAAGCTTGTCTGAGCTGTCAGAAAACAGGGGGGGACTGAAATTACACACTGCAGAGCTCAGTGAGGAGAGCTCTGAAAGCTGATTGCAGGGAAGAGACACCCCCCCTCGACACAGCACACAGGAACAATGCTAAGGCTGTCAATCACAGGCTGTGTGCTGAAGCTCCCTCTCCTGTCACCATTTGTCAGGAAAACTTGTTAGAACTGATTCATACTAATAGCAGAGGAATGAAGCAGCAGACAGAAATGACACCTAACTGAGACAAGTAGACACTATAGAGGGATTTGCTTTGTTCACATTTCATTTCTGAGGTTTACAACCACTTTAAAGCTGAGCTCAAGCTAACACGTTTGCACATACACAGCTCCAATATTACATTTCCAGTACAATGCCAGTGTGCCAGGATGAATGATTTCTGTTCATGCGCGGGAGTGATGCCATCCTGCACTGGCAGTCAAGATGGCTGAAGACTGGCAGCCTGGAGAAGCTGGGGAGAAGGTGCTGGAGGCGGCAAGGGACCTCGTGGATGTCAGACTGTGAGAGCATAGGTCAATATTCTTGCCTTTATGTCTGCTTTAAGCACTTACAGTTTTTCCTGGTTCCACGATGGCAGCATACTATGTGTATTCTGCCATGCATTGGTGCCACAAAAAGAAAATTACAATAAGTATTTGATACAATTTTCCTGGTGCCAGCATGGCAGCATACATGTAATATGCTGCTATGGGTCGGTGCCAGGAAAGGAAAATTGCAGTATTTGATACAATTTTCTTTTTTACTCTTATTTTAGGGATAATACATTTTAGTTTTGGGTTTAACATTTCTTTAACTTGTTACTTTGCAGAGCATAGATTAAGCACACTAAAATATAAGTAAAACTTCAATTAAATTTTCCTCTATTTGCAGCTTATTGAGTATAAATAAGGGTTGTCTGCTCATTTAAAGAAACATTCAATCAAAATGTTACTTTTAGGGCTCATTTACACAAGATGCAGTCAGGTGCTTTTTTAAAAGCAGCATAAATGCAGTATACATGCACATGCAAGAAAAATGAATGTATTCCAGTGAGCCTAGTTTACACCACTGCAGTAAGTATCAGGATGAAATCCTTGGACCCATTGTCAGACCCTACACTGGTGCAGTGGGTGCTGGGTTCCTCCTGGTGCACAACAATGCCCGACCTCATGTGGTGAGAGTATGCAGGCAGTTCCTGGAGGATGAAGGAATTGATAGCATTGAATGGCCCCCATGCTCGCCTGACCTAAATCCAATAGAACACCTCTGGGATATCATGTTTCGGTCCATCCAACACTGCCAGGTTGCACCTCAGACTGTCCAAGAGCTCAGTGATGCCCTGGTCCAGATCTGGGAGGAAATACCCCAGGACACCATCCATCGTCTCATTAGGAGCATGCCCTGACAATGAGGCTGCAGTAATGGGCACTGATAGGCTGCACTGATGGACACTGATCGGTGGCACTGATGGGCACTGATGAAGAGGCACTGGTAGGTGGTACTGATGGGCATTGACAGGCATCTCTGATGGGCACTGAAAGGCAGCACTCATATACAGTCAGGTCCATAAATATTGGGACATCGACACAATTCTAACATTTTTGGCTCTATACACCACCACAATGGATTTGAAATGAAACAAACAAGATGTGCTTTAACTGCAGACTGTCAGCTTTAATTTGAGGGTATTTACATCCAAATCAGGTGAACGGTGTAGGAATTACAACAGTTTGCATATGTGCCTCCCACTTCTTAAGGGACCAAAAGTAATGGGACAATTGGCTTCTCAGCTGTTCCATGGCCAGGTGTGTGTTATTCTCTCATTATACCAATTACAATGAGCAGATAAAAGGTCCAGAGTTAATTTCAAGCGTACTATTTGCATTTGGAATCTGTTGCTGTCAACTCAAGATGAGATCCAAAGAGCTGTCACTATCAGTGAAGCAAGCCATCATTAGGCTGAAAAAAACAAAACAAACCCATCAGAGAGATAGCAAAAACATTAGGCGTGGCCAAAACAACTGTTTGGAACATTCTTAAAAAGAAGGAACGCACCGGTGAGCTCAGCAACACCAAAAGACCCAGAAGACCACGGAAAAAAAACTGTGGTGGATGACCGAAGAATTCTTGCCCTGGTGAAGAAAACACCCTTCACAACAGCTGGCCAGATCAAGAACACTCTCCAGGAGGTAGGTGTATGTGTGTCAAAGTCAACAATCAAGAGAAGACTTCACCAGAGTGAATACAGAGGGTTCACCACAAGATGTAAACCATTGGTGAGCCTCAAAAACAGGAAGGCCAGATTAGAGTTTGCCAAACGACATCTACAAAAGCCTTCACAGTTCTTGAACAACATCCTATGGACAGATGAGATCAAGATCAACTTGTACCAGAGTGATGAGAAGAGTATGGAGAAGGAAAGGAACTGCTCATGATCCTATGCATACCACCTCATCAGTGAAGCAAGGTGGTGGTAGTGTCATGGCGTGGGCATGTATGGCTGCCAATGGAACTGGTTCTCTTGTATTTATTGATGTGACTGCTGACAAAAGCAGCAGGATGAATTCTGAAGTGTTTCGGGCAATATTATCTGCTCATATTCAGCCAAATGCTTCAGAACTCATTGGACGCTGCTTCACAGTGCAGATGGACAATGACCCAAAGCATACTGCAAAAGCAACCAAAGAGTTTTTTAAGGGAAAGAAGTGGAATGTTATGCAATGGCCAAGTCAATCACCTGACCTGAATCCGATTGAGCATGCATTTCACTTGCTGAAGACAAAACTGAAGGGAAAATGCCCCAAGAACAAGCAGGAACTGAGGACAGTTGCAGTAGAGGCCTGGCAGAGCATCACCAGGGATGAAACCCAGCGTCTGGTGATGTCTATGCGTTCCAGACTTCAGGCTGTAATTGACTGCAAAGGATTTGCAACCAAGTATTAAAAAGTGAAAGTTTGATTTATGATTATTATTCTGTCCCATTACTTTTGGTCCCTTAACAAGTGGGAGGCACATATGCAAACTGTTGTAATTCCTACACCGTTCACCTGATTGGGATGTAAATACCCTCAAATTAAAGCTGACAGTCTGCAGTTAAAGCACATCTTGTTCGTTTTATTTCAAATCCATTGTGGTGGTGTATAGAGCCAAAAATGTTAGAATTGTGTCGATGTCCCAATATTTATGGACCTGACTGTATGGCACTGATAGGCGGCACTGACTGGCACTGATAGGTGGCACTGACAGGCACTGTTAGATGGCACTGACTGGCATGGTTAGGCGGCACTGATAGGCAGCACTGACAGGCACTGATAGGCAGCACTGACTGGCACTGATTGGCAGCACTGATAGGTGGCACTGACTGGCATTGATAGGTGGCACTGACTGGCACTGTTGGGTGACACTGAAAGGCAGCTCAGATGGGCACTGATATGTGGCACTGAAATGTGGCACTGATGTGGCACTGGCAGGTGGCATGGATGAGCACTGAGAGCTGGCACTGATGGACACTGACAGGTGGCGCTGCTGGGGCTACACGGATCATCAGGGCGCACTGATCATCAGTGCTCTGATGATCTGTGAACATGTCCCCCTCCGAAGAATGCCGATTACCGTCTATCCTCTCCTCACGAGCTGTCAGCGTGACAGCTCATGGAGAGAGAAATGCGATAACTGGCTTTCCCTGTTTACATGTGATCAGCTGTGATTGGACACAGCTGATCACATGACCGAGCTGACATCTTTGGCTCTTTCTGTGGATCGGTGATCCGCTGTGTCCGAGGGACACAGCGCACCACCGATCGCCGCGCTGCGCACTCCCAGAGCCGCACATGCGCGGTTAGAATAAGAGGACGTCATAAGACGTCCTCCCAGAACAAGAGAACCGCCTTGTGTCCGTCATTTTACTATATGGCAGGCGGGAGGCGGTTAAAGTGGTCCTTTAATTTTTTGAACAGTGTATATACTGTATGTTTACCATAATTCAGAGTCACATATAAAATTTGGAGTGGATACTGTAACATGTTTAATTTTTGGTTATATAAAACGGTGTTGCACTATGGTATCTTTTTGTTTTATTTTGCACGGATTTGGAGTTTAAAGAAGCATAATACGTGGAAGGAACACTTCATGGATCAGAAATATGGAGACACATTTTCCTTATAAAGCGTGTTTTTAGCCTATTATAATCTATAGGTCAATGATTAAGATGAGCAGGAAGTGGGTTCACAAGTCAAGCACGGTGTTGATTATTGCTGGATGATAACACAACATATACTGGGTTGGACGTTTATTATCTGGAAAAAAATTTCTTGGACTGTCATTTTGTTTCTAAAACTTATGGTTCTATTTATGATAATATAGCACACCACAAATTTTTTATTTATTTAAGCTTGTCACCATGTTGATGGGAACAAGGGTTTCTTCCCCACAGTCCTGCTGGACTGTGTTTGTGGGGGTCTGCGAGGGGTGACTTATCAGAATCTGGAAGCCTCCTTTAACAAGGGGACCACCAGATCCCAGTGCTTCTCTTGTGAATGTGTATGGCTACATAGTACTGTGGCAGCACCCAAATATTGTAGAGTTCCCCTTAAGTTTTAACATTTCTAACAGCATCTGTTTGTAAACCAAGGTCATCAGCTCACTTCCCCCCTCCCTTATTTCCTGTGAAATAATGTGTTCCAGTCTGTAGCTGGCACCCTTATTTTCAGCTGAAGATAATTTATCTAGCAAGGCCATATTCTGCACTGCTTAGAAAGTCTTTTAAATGTACAGAAAGTGAAAGAGGAAATATATGCATTGTGACGTAATTTCTGATATGTATACCCTGTAAGATGCTTTTTCAAGACACTTAGCTTGCAGACACGAGTCCTTGCTAAGTCAACCAGCGCTGGTAGACAGAGGCGTCCCTAGGGTTGGTGTCACCCGGTGCGGTGACACTTGGTGACACCCCCTCCGACGATCCCCGTAGAATGGATCGGATCTGCGGATTGAGCATAAAGGATCGGACTCCGATCCATTATCCTCAATCTGCAGATCCGATCCATCCTGCGGGGATCGTCGGCTTTCTTCACAACTTACCTTTTCTTGGAGCGGGTCCGGTGTCACCCCGTATAGGTTGCATGCCGACGATCCCCGCAGGAAAAATGGTTCCATCATTGTAATCCACCTTCAATCATGGCGTCCAGTGTTGTCATGATGATGCTGAATCGCTGAAATAAACCCAATACGACCCATCTGCACCCACCGAGCACTCGCTCTGCACCCACCGAGCACATCGCTCTGCACCCACTGAGCACCCGCTATCTGACATTTGCCGGTCAGATATAAACAGTTGGGCAGAGCTAGCAGTGGTGTGCCTAGCTGTGCTCTGATTGGCCAAAGCATTGCACCTGACCTGTGGCAAATCACAATGCACTGTCAGAGCCCTTACCATTCGTGTGTTTGCCAAGGATACGCTTCTATTATTAGGCTTTTATTTTTGTATACATACACTTTACTACACTGTGATTTGGGAAGCTCTCCCTTCCAACCTCTGGTTAGTTCCTGCACCCACCAGTAGGTGTCATCGTATACGGCTCACTCATACTCCCCGACTCGTTTGTTCTACACCGTTTCCGGCTCCAACCGGCGCAGGCCACGTCACTCAGCTTTTTGTCCGGCGGAAGTGACGACCCTTTAGCCCGACCAATCGCGTCTCTGCGGGCTGTGTGCTGTAGTTGTATGGCTGTGGGATGGTAGCAGAGTGAGGTGCCGGTGTCAGTGAGCGGCAGACATGTCCGTTCTGTACGCGCTGGCCTGGCGCCTCGTACACGTGGTGTTGGGGGCACAGAGGGCTCTGCTCGCCTGGCTCCGGCTTTGGCACTGGAGGGTGTGGAGGGCGGCGGGCGCTCTTCTCCTACCGCCGGACATCGCCTTCCAGCGGAGGAAGGGCCCACACGGGGACTGCCATCTAAGGCGGGAGGAGGACTGGTGCCAGTGCCTGGAGGACACCGCGGATAGCTCGTCCCTGAGACAGCGCTGTGACTGCTCCTACCTGCACCGGGACCTCGTCCTACACCGGAGGGACCGAACTAAGCTCAACAAGATGCCCGTCCACCTGGCACTGCTCATCGCGGAAGAACAGCACAGCTACACGGACGTGGCCAGCCTGGTGGTGTGGTGTATGGCCCTGGGCATCTCCTATGTCAGTGTCTACGACCAGAGAGGTACACCCTGGGCAGGATTGGGAGGGGAAGGTGTGACCACTGAATGGTGACATCTCCTACATCAGTGTCTATGACCAGCAAAGGACAGCCTGACCCTCTACAGAGTGGGAGGATAGCCTCAGACTGTATGGATGTGATCACTGAATGGTGACATCTCCTAGATCAGTATCTATGACCAGCAAGGTGAAGCCTGACCCTCTACAGAGTGGGAGGATAGCCTCAGACTGTATGGATGTGTTCACTGAATGGTGACATCTCCTAGATCAGTATCTATGACCAGCAAAGGACAGCCTGACCCTCTACAGAGTGGGAGGATAGCCTCAGACTGTATGGATGTGTTCACTGAATGGTGACATCTCCTAGATCAGTATCTATGACCAGCAAAGGACAGCCTGCCTCTACAGAGTGGGAGGATAGCCTCAGACTGTATGGATGTGTTCACTGAATGGTGACATCTCCTAGATCAGTATCTATGACCAGCAAAGGACAGCCTGACCCTCTACAGAGTGGGAGGATAGCCTCAGACTGTATGGATGTGATCACTGAATGGTGACATCTCCTGGATCAGTATCCATGACCAGCAAGGTGAAGCCTGACCCTCTACAGAGTGGGAGGATAGCCTCAGATTGTATGGATGTGATCACTGAATGGAGACATCTTCTAGATCAGTGTCTATGACCAGCAAGGTGCAGCCTGACTGTATACAGAGTGGGAGGATAGCCTCACATTGTATGGATGTGATCACTGAATGGGGACATCTCCTAGATCAGTGCTTGATGGAAGAGACGGTCATAGACTGCAGACATGGAAGAGACGGTCAGAGACTGCGGGCATGATGGAAGAGACGGTCAGAGACTGCGGGCATGATGGAAGAGACGGTCAGAGACTGCGGGCATGATGGAAGAGACGGTCAGAGACTGCGGGCATGATGGAAGAGACGGTCAGAGACTGCGGGCATGATGGAAGAGACGGTCAGAGACTGCGGGCATGATGGAAGAGACGGTCGGAGACTGCGGGCATGATGGAAGAGACAGCAGAAATCACTACTACACCAGGGCAATAAGGAAACGGCTTAGTGTCTGAAGGAGCCCCAAGGGCTGCACAAAAAGTGCCAAGGGGACACATACATTCCCCAGGTCACAGGCTGGGCACTGGGCCCTAGACAGCATTAGAGTATGGTGCCATTCTGTATAGGTGTGTGATCACTGAGTGTTGGCATCTCCTATGTCAGTGTTTATGACCAGCAAGGTACACCCTGACCTTAGGCAAGATGGCAGCATGGTGTCAGTCTGTGTGGCTGTGATTGCTGAAAGGTGATATCCCCTATGTCAATGTTCATGATGAGCAAGGTGCACCCTGACCTTAGGCAGAATGGGAGGATGATGTCACTCTGTATGGTTGTACTTCCTGAATGATGGCCTTTCCTAGTTCATTGTCTATGATGAACAGTAGGCAGGTTGGGAGGATATTGTTGATCTATATGGATGTCATCAGTTTGGCACAGGGGATCTCCTATGTTTGTTTACCAGCAAGCTGTGCCCTTTAACCCTTCCTATTGTTGGACTGTGTTCACCTGTGTGGATGTGTTCTTTGGGGCCCATTCATACTTGTGCATTGTGGCAAGGGGCCTGCTCTATGTGCAGTACCATTTATATTCATGGTAAATGGCATCCAGCACAGTAGAGCCTAATGAACTGCAGCACATCGCAATGCATATACCCCACGCTGCATTGTTACCAAAAAGAGAAATGTGCATTTCTTCATCCATTGTGGTGTGTTGGCAAAGAGAGAAATGGACTGCTTTAATGCAATGCATGTTAACACAGGTTAAGTAAGGCACCACAGTGGTACATTTAAGTGTGAATGAGCCCCTAGGCTAGGTTCATACTTTTCTGCTGCAGTGCTTTGCCATTCATTTTGAATGGCACCCCAATGCACTAAGACAACACAGCACAGCACCAATGCATTACAGCACACCAAAACACTGTAATTACACTACGTTTTGTGGTGTGCTTCATTTGCAAAAATGAAAAAAGTGTTTTGTTTTTTTTTTCGTTGCCAGCCAGGGGGGATTTGATTTAAATCAAACTGATTTAAATCACAATTTAAATCACTAGTCAGTAAGGCTTGATTTAAATCCTAGTTTTCTACATAAAGACTAATTCTTGCTGGTATAACTTTAATATGCAAGTAGATGAAGATTTTTAGAATAACTTTTCATATTAGTTTTTTTTATCCCCAGTTTAATAGGTTAATCATTCATATTTGGACAACTTTTCTGTTGTACTTAGGAAGGAGAAAAATAATCATTACATTAATAATAACAATTTAAATACATTTATTCAACTGAAACAATAACATGACAGCATATGTTACTTGCTTAAACATCCATGTTTGTTAACTAATTTGGCTAAACAAAATATATATAATATTAAGAAACTTAGACTGTCAGCCCCTTCCTCCTCACACTTAGTTTCACTTTCTTCTTGTGCAGATCTATTCCACTCCAAACAATCAGAAAAATATTGTTTCTGTTCTATTCACTGAACTTCTTGAAACTTCGCACTGAAGGGGTTGATTCTGTATTCATAGGTTTGTAGAAGTTAGGATTAAGGTGTTTTCTTAATTCTGTTCATGTTATAACATTTTGCTGTGAAGAAGAGGCATGTGATCTCCACTGAGACAAATTCAGTTTTGATAACTGCAAAGTAAACCAAGCATCTGTGATAATATCTTGTAGGCAGAGAAACTGCCCAATAATCTTACAAAAACCTCTGGAAGAGCATGACATTGTGAATGGATTCATGGAATTTATTTACCAAAACAATTAAACATATACAGCCTTATTCTACATAATTAAAAAACTAATCTTTATTTCATGATGGAATGACCTTTGGATGGTAATATATTTTCCTCAAAAAAGCATTTTATAAAAATCTGATTTAAATAAAAAAAAAATCCGATTTAAATAAAACCCGTTTTTTTTTTTTTTTTTAAAAATCATTGATTTTTATCCACCCTGTTGCCAGCTCATTTGGATGTGCTGCCTTAAAGTGGAGCTCCACCCAAAAGGGGAAATTCTGTTTTAAGGACTGCTCCCCGTTAAGGATTGGCACCTTGGGGGAGCAGGTACCCGAATTTGACAGGTACCTGCTCCCACTTCCGGGCGATTGGAAACAGAAAGTGTCCTCCCTCCCTGTAGTCTTTTGGGACACGTGACAGGTCCCAGAAGACTACAGGACCATTCATGAACTGCAGCACTACTCGCGCATTCACGGTGGGTACCCGGCTGTGAAGCCGCAAGCTATCACAGCTGGGTGGCCACACTGAAGATGCTGGCCTCCTGGAATACGGGACGGACGGTGAAACGAGCTGTGGGGGACACACCATGGAACCGAGGGACAGGTAAGTGGCTGTTTTTTAAGAGTCAGCAGTTACAGTTTTTGTAGCTGCTGACTTGTATTTTTTGACAGGGTGAGTGCAACTCCGCTTTAAGGCAATACCATTAACATGTAGAAAAATGTGCATTAATGCATTGCACTGGAAAAGTGTGAACCCAGCCTTAACGTTGGCATCTTTGTTAGTGTTTATGACCAGCATGGTACTCCCCGACTCTGGTGTCAGGCTGTATAGTTGCGATGCTCGAATGTTGGCGTATGTCTGCACCCATTTGCATACAATGTTGTGCTGCTGCTTAGGTCTCTTTCACATTTGGATGTGGATTGCTTTTCATAGGACAACATTAACAGCAGCTTACAGGCGTTCAATGGGTGCTACTGCCGCCTCCTGAATGCCTGTTTTTGGTTGCTGAACAGCAATTTTTCCTTGCAGGACTGCATTGCAAATGCAAGCCAAGCTTTTAGTTTGGGACTGGTGTGGCCATATTGTACTCGACAGGCGGTACTGAATAACTCTGCAGCCTGAATTAAAGCTGCAGCTGCCACAAAGCAAAGCATCACAGCTGTGGCATATGTTCAGCCATTTCTGGCTGTATTGTAAAATTCAGGGCAGCTGGGGGGGTGGTAAATTTTGAAGGTTAGAATACAGGAATTTGCAAATCATATTGCCCGATGCCCGGGACATGTAGTTCCAGGCTTTTATATGTCACTAAGCACGAAAGGTCCAACACCAATTTGTGCAGCTGGAAATATAACTGCCTCTCTGGGCAGAAGCACAGTCACTATCAAGTCGGCGCAATATCAGTCCTCAAAATCCATCTAAGACATCTAATCTTCTTATACTCTCACCTGATTCCTCCAATAATCAAGCGTTGTGTACATATAAATCCTCCTCTCTTCCAATCTTCTTCTGTCTACTCTTCTGCTTGTGCTCCCAAATACAGAAAACAAATATAGTTAAGTATGTCCTTAATGTATAAAATGTGCTCAATCTTCAGAATCTAGTATATTCCGAATATTGTGCTCTTCCCCAATGCTCATAGGACTGAGGAAGCCCATGTGACGAAACGTGTCAGAGGAAGTGACGTCAGCCTCAAGCCAGAAGTATCGTGGCGGCCATTTTAGAGAAGGCATTTCTGTATCGGAATTTATGTAAAATATCTGGTGAGAGCATAAGAAGATTAGATGTTTTAGAAGGATTTTGAGGACTGATATTGCGCTGACTTGGTGCTCGTCAGGAAAGGGGAGTGTCAAGTCAGTGCTCATCACATTGCAGGGTCTTTCCCCTCCCTGCTAGTGTTCGGTGGGCAGTGCTGGAGACGGGCAGGGAGGGGAGGAGGAAATAACCACTTGCCCTCCAGAGTATTTACCCCCCTTCCTGACCAGGCCATTTTTTGCATTACGACGCTGCGTTATTTTAACTGACAATTGTGCAGTCATGGAGTGCTGCACCCAAATTAAATGTACGTCCCTTTTTTTCCCCCCATGAATAGAGCTTTATTTTGGTGGTATTTGATCGCCTGTGTGTTTTTTTGTTTTTTTTTTTAAATTTTTTTGTGCTATAAAAAAAAGGCCGGCAATTTTGAGAAAAAATTTTTTTTT